ACTGCTTACTCCACATAAAACAGCATAACGTGCTCATATATATTTTATTAAACACATTAGTCCGAGATTTTATATACAGACACGACTGGTGTTATATCAAAAAAGGAAGTAAAAAAAAAATTGTATTGGTTAAAATCAACTATGTAAATTAACACCTGAAATACATCCATTTAGCCATCTGTTACTGTTGTGCTACAATGATCAGTAATGTTTTGGAGGTAAGAGTTCACAAAGGGTAACAGCTCCCAGTTGTCTGTTGCAATGCTGACCTGAATGGCATCTTCAGTCTGTGTAATCTTCAAAAGGACATGGCACATGGGTGGAAGAAAGAACAAGACTTTCCATGATCTTTTGCTCTGCTGATCTGTAATAAGGTAACCCTGAAAATGTGTCTTGATGAGATCAGCAAGACTTTCATCTGCAGTTTTGAAACAGAAAAGACTAATGGCAGATTTGTCAGGATTCCCAGAGGCTGCGGCCTCCCAAATGTGGTCGAACACTTGCTCTTTGCATTCACAGGACGTGTTTGGCGGTAAAGGCAGAGGAAGGAATATCTCAGGGAATGAAACGCTCACATCAGGCAGTCGGCTGTGCCAAGAACGTCCATCTTGGGTGGTAAAAATGGCACTGACACATAAAGTAGTAGGGTAGGGTTGAAAGGGCTTGAGCTTAACTATGACCACAGGTGGCTTTCTATCGCTGAACACGCATGGTACATGTATGTCATTTACCTTTGCGTAATTTGAGTCTTTCAGCTCAAAATGCAGACAAATTGTAAAGACTTTATCGAATAAAGGATCCGTGTCTTTTGCATGAGTCAGATTGTATCTCAAGGTGACCTCGGAGCCAAATCCAGGTGTCTGAAACTGTCCTTGATAAACCTCCAACCAATTCTCAGCCTCTCCCGTTGTCTCCAACAACTCTGAACGTTCCGAAGACCTTTGTGAGGCTTTTTCTTGCACCTTGATGAGTTGTAAAACATGCCGGTTAGTTTTGTGCACAGTCAGGTTACTGGCGATCCCCTCACTTTCAGCCATAATTGCAGAATGCGACCGCTCTTTGGCACGTCCTCCATCAAGTCCTTTGGCGAGAACCCCGGTCCGCTTTTCCCACGAAAGGTTGGTTAGTAATGTGTAGTAAAAGCGAGCGTGATCCTTAATGTCCATGCCATCATAATGTACCGATATGTATTGCAAAAGGTCGGCCAACTCAATAAACACTTGATCAATGGAGGGATGCTCCAAAAGATTGCGACAAACAGCGAGAACTGCGTTTCCAACCTGCCAGTTGCCTCTTTCACACAAGTTGGAGTTGATGAGAATATTGAGAAGGAGGTAAATGGTGTTTCTCTGGGTAATCTGACCCTCTTTAGCCACTCTTTTCAAGACTTTCAAGTGCCAACTCAAATTATGAATCGTCAACTGCGGTGGAGGCATTTCCATAATGCATTTCTGAAGCCCTATCAACAACTTCACCGACCAGACTGGGTCATCCAGATGCTCCTGGATGCGATTCACGAGGCCAATCAAATTCGGAGCGAGTCGCGAATGTCTGGAATACATGTCGCATAATTTGTCGATCACCTTCTCGGAGAGTTCTTCCATGCCACTGAAGTGCATGAGAAAAATGAACAACGCTCTGAAAGAGGTCACCACCACTTCTCTGCTACCGTCA